GACAGTAACAACAGGTTGTGTTGTTTTTTTCTGTCCCCTCTGTGAGAAAACTGCTGCTGCTTCTTTAGCGTTCCACTTAAACTCCACTTCCTGCTAATAAGTCTTCTTTATGAGGCGAGGCAGTTATGTGACAGGTGACATTTACACACACGGTTTGTGGCAGGGAAACAACCAGACATACCAATAATAATAATAATAAAAAAAAATCCTGCCCTTTTTGAACTTGGGTGTTTTTTTATCAACTGTAAGAGAACTGAGCAGATTTTTAAATGAGCAGCGTGTAAAATCTAACACTATTTGTTGAATAAAAAGAAGCAAAACGACGTCTGTGATAAAAAGTTTTCAGTTTTATGTTTAACCCAACGAGGGAAAACATCAGCAGTTTTAGGTTTAACCCATTAAGTCACCTTAAACTTACTTAAAAGACATTTTTTTTAAATTTTATGTAAGGTGATAAGCTGACAGTAAGAACTGGAGGAAGTTGTGTGACACCCCTGGTTTAAAAAAATAAAATAAAATAAGCCCCCAGTAGCATTTGGAAATGGTTAAATGTTCTGAAATTGTAAAGTGGTTTATCAAACCCAGTCAGACCCAAGGCTCTGTACAGTCATTCACACTGAGGTGCTAAGCTACATTGTAGCCACAGCTGCCCTGGGGCACACTGACAGATGAGGGGCTGCCATGCAGCAGCACCACCACTTGGGSAAGACACTTCACCCGCCAGCCTACTGATAGTGGTCCAAGTAAGCACCACCACTTGGACCACCATCAGTAGGCTGGCGAAGTGTCTTGCCCAAGGACACAACGACCGACGCAGCCGTTACAGGGGATTAAATCGTCAACTCTCCAGTTACAGGACCCCCCCGCAGAAACCGTATTGTTTTTGTCCACCGGTTAGGGGCTTAATCAAACGAGGGAAAACATCAGCAGCCTTAGCAGGTCATTTTCAAATCATTTCATCATTTGATTTTTCACAACGAAGACATTTTCAGGACGAGGACGTCTCTGCTAATTCACCCCAAGGTCAGACTGTGCAATGCTCAAAGCACTTACAAAAAAAAAAAAGATAAATAAAGCCCAATGTGTGACTCTACAGACCTGTCAGCAGGTGAAAGGTTCAGACTGAAACAGACTGAACATGTAGGTGTTGTTCAGGAGGAAGTCTCTCATCTCTAAAAACATTGTTTGACAAAAAACAGGATTGTTTCAGGAAATAAATCAGGTAAGATGAGTTCTTTTGGCAAAATAAGTGACACGAAGTTGAGTTTTTGTCGTTTTGAAACCGTTTCGAACATGTCAAATCRAGGCCCGCGGGCCGAATCTGACCCTTTGTTAACATTTTATCACAGGTAATACTTCAAATGTTCGTTTTATGGTTTCTCTTTTTGCCTCTGGATTTTTCTTCTCATGAGTCAAACTTTCAAACCAAGAAAATGATTTTTCAGTGCAACACCAACATGGACTTTTTCTGTCTTCTCTTCCCATTTTACAGCCAAACTGCAGTTTTGGCATTTTCCTCTTTTTAAGTGATTTGCTGGATTGTAATAAAACGTATCTCGAAGAAATTATAATTAAAAACTTGTGATAAGAGTAAAGATAAGGAATTTTAAACTCATCTTTTGTCCTTATCAGGTTATGTATGTTCTAATGCTACAAAAAAAATAAATAAATAAAAATAACGTTTGGGAAAGTTCTWTGTATTTCTGTAAGAATAATTTGTTGTAGAACATTTTAATGAATTAACCCCCCTGCTTTGTAAGACTTTAATTTAAAGAAGCTGTACTTTATTTACATGACAGTATATTTAGTTATAAGCTCCAACACAAAAATCAGTACACACGATCAAAATATAAATAACTTTTATTTTTAGGTGACATAAAAAAAAAAACAGGTTTTAACAGAAACACTAGTTGTCAACATAAACAACAACAGGATGTTTTCTTCTCTCCGGACTCTTCAAACTAAATTTGTTTCGATTCTTTTGCAACAAAAAGTCAGAATCAAATCAAATGGTCCTGCGAGGAGCAGCGTCATCCATCACTGCTGCTCAATTACTGAAGCTAATYACTGCGCTGCACAGAAACAAAAACAACTAAATGAAGTTCTCTCCAAACCCAAACTCCCCGTTAGAACCACCCCGGACCCTCCGACCCCCCATCACTGCTTCTGCTGCATGGCTTCTTTTCTCGCAGCGTCCTGCAGCAGCTGAGTGTCCACCTCGTCGGCCGGCAGCTGCACGTATCGGACCACCGACCCTCGGATGAAGCAGTTTTTCACCGACAGCTGCAGCAGAACGAAAACACTAAATATGTCGTTCGGCGACACGAAAGTTTGATTTTACACCGTTTTACAAACAAACCACTTTCTACAACGTGGCATAAAAACTGTTTGTAATCTGTGCCTCAAACATTTTGTCAAATCTCCAGGGAAAGACGAAAACAGTTCGATCCCAGTTATGATTAAAAAGCAGGAAATATTTTATAGTTAAAGTAATTAATCCCAAAAAAAAATCTAAGATATACTGATTTAAAAGAAGAGAAACGGTTAAAGAGAACAAAATACTTTATGTGCTGACATTTTTCACATGAAGACGTATCTTATATTCAAGCACAGAAACAAATAAATAAAAATACTGAAATGTTTGATCTCTAATCCAGAAACAGTTTCCATAACCAGTGGAAAATCACGTCCAGATAAAAGCTGCACCTGCTCTGCTGAAAATCCCAAACTGCACCTGAATGCACCTCGCTCCTGTTGGCTGCAGCGAGGTGCATTCAGGTGCACCTCGAGGTGCACCTGAATGCACCTCGCTGCAGCCAACGTCAACAAAAGTGATTGGTTCAGACACGCTCCGTCGTGTGTCTGGAGGATGACAGGTGCTGACTGACAGCTGCTCACGTGAACAGAATGTCTGTAATTGACACAGATTTTCCCTCATTTTGCTTTAGAGTAATCTAACGATTTTTATTAAAAAATACTCAGCTTCAAATTAATTTATACACTCACCGGCCACTTAATTAGGTACACCATGCTAGTAACGGTTTTGTGGTCATAAAGGGATGGACATGGTC